TATATATAAAGGTACACAGTATAGTCAGAGGCCTGGGGGTGGGCTTTGAACAGCGTTTTGAAGAAAAAGAAAGAGAATAGCAGACATAGTCATGGAGATGGGCAAGTATTGGTAGCAGTAGGAAGCAGAGTTGTTAGGTTGGAGAATACATTTCTTTTCAGAGAAATGAGGGCTTAAGGACAAGAGTAGTGTTAATAACAACCAACAGAGCAGCTTAGATTTGATATGAAAATTAAAGATCTACTGCAGGTACTAGAGTACTTGCAAAGGAGAAAGGCAGAGGGAGCCCCACAGTCATTGCCAACCAATGCTGGCATGGAGAATTTCTTCCTGAAATTCTCTCCCCCTTGTTTTTGAGTTAATACTTTCCTAGCCTTCTCTTTCTAATTCTCTAGATGCTCTTCAGTCCTATTATTGTTAATAAAAACAAGTAAAATAAGTATTCATAATTATAGCAAACAGCTATATGGGTTATTATGTACTAAGAATTGTGGCCAGCATTTTGTTATCTTCCTTAATGAACCCACCCTTGTGAGGTAGTTATTCTTATCATCCCCATTAAAATGAGAAAACTAAAACCCAATAGTAAGTTGTCACAGAGATAGTAGATTGTGGAATCCATACATATGCTCTTAATTACTATGCATGGAGCTTTGGCATTATTCAGACTTCAAGCCTTCATCCTTTTCTTCTTAAGGTCAAATCTTTGTGTTTACAGTTTCTTTAACCTTTCCTTACAGATTTGTATGCCTTATCGTGTTTTCATTCTTGCTGATTTCTTGATGTACCTTTAAATGTTGCATTTCCAGGGGCGCCTGGGTGGCTCAGTCGTTAAGCGTGGACATTCAGCTCAGGTCATGATCCCAGGGTCCTGGGATCTGCCCCATATCAGGCTCCCTGCTCAGCGGGAAGCCTGCTTCTCCCTCTCCCACTCCCCCTGCTTGTGTCTCTCTTTCTCTGTCAAATAAATAAATAAAATCTAAAAACAAAAGCAAAAACAAACTGTTGCATTTCCAAACTAGAGACTCATCTAAGTAGACCAGGAAGAAATACACAGAAGTGATGCTAGTGTGCTTCTCATTGGATCCTATCAGCTGTTGCATGATTTTGATTTGTCCCATTACTGATGGCACTTGACCACTTGATTAAGATGGTGACTGCCATCTCGCTGCCGTAAAATTACTCTAATTCCCTTTGTGATGAATAAGAACTTTATGGGGAGTTAATTTGAAAGTATGTAAATATTCCAGTCTTTTTCAAATTTTAAGTTTATGTTTATTTACATCTGTATGGTTTCCTGTGCTATTCAGTGGGTTACATTATCATTTTTTATTTGGAAGCTCAATTTGTCAAAGATTTGGCCAGTGGGACACAAGTTGGCCTGTGTCCTTTTGACATGCCCCATCATTCTTTGAGCATGTCCTTATTTTCTGGCACAGCTAGAGGCTCCAGGCTCATCCTGTACTTCTCTTCTCCAGCCCTGAAATCAGCCATTTTGCCAAAAAGGAAAAATGAGAACGGTATTGAGAAGCCAAGATCTGGGCTAGATGTACTCATTGTTTTGTTTTGTCACTACTCCCACACTCTCTCAGTATACAGAGTGTATATGTATTTACACACCTATATAAATATTGATGCCTCCATTATCAGTCCACTACCTAAAGGTTCATTCTAGTTTTTTTCCATTGTAACTCTCTTTTTCAACAGTAAGAAATTTGATTCCCATTTCCCTTACTTATTGGATCAATACCCTTGTACATAACCGATCTCCCACACTGATACTGCCCCCTCCTCTGCTTGGCTGCCCTTTTCACCTCCCCACGCTGACTTCCCAAGGCCAGATGGTCCCTCCAGCAAGGTGAGGAGAGCACTCTATACCAGGCCACTTACCTGTGTGGATGCCCTTCTCACCCCAAGTCCTTGGCTGCCTCCCCTTCCCTTACACACTGCTGTGCTGTCCCCCTACACACATCCTCTACAATGTACTTTTTTTTTTTTTTTAAGATTTTATTTATTTGACAGAGACAGGGAGAGAGGGAACACAAGCAGGGGGAGTGGGAGAGGGAGAAGCAGGCTTCCCGCCGAGCAGGGAGCCTGATAACGGGGCTCGATCCCAGGACCTGGGATCATGACCTGAGCCAAAGGCAGATGCTTAACGACTGAGCCACCCAGGTGCCCCATCTCTACAATGTACTTTTAAAAATACGTTATCTCTTTTGCTTGTTATAAGACTTCTGTGAGGGAGTTAAGGAAGCTATTATCATTGAACAGCTCTCCAAGGATCTCGTTCAAGAGAAATGGAGTGACTTGCCCAAGTTGTACAGCTTATAAAAAGGAGGGTCTGAACGGAGGGCTCTTTCCACTCCACCAATCTATGATGCCTCTAAACATATGCTAATATTACAGTAACTTTTCCTTTTTCTCCAGTGGAAATATGTTTCAAACGTATTCACTTCGTGGTCTACTCTGATTTCCAGGTGTTTCTTCCTGCAAAATATGTGCCGGGTAGAAAAAGGATTGGGTGCATAATCAAACTGAAAGTTTAGCTCCAGCTTAGATCTGTGAGTCTTCAGGCAAGTTACTCGCTTTCCTCAGTTATAAAAAAGAGGTTGGATCAGCGATTCTCTGCCTGGGGCTGCGTGAGATGGGAGCTGTAGGGCTTTCCCCGATGTTAGAAATGCCTGCGCAATTCAGCTACAAACATCTCATTCAATAATCCTTAACATGCCTTCCAACTCGCGTAGTTATGATTCCAAGGCATTCCTTCTCTACTCAGTATTTGTTAGCTGTTTTTATTCTTATCAATCTTACCCTTCATTCAAAAATATTTATTAATGGCCTATTAGGCGCCAACTACCGTATTATCCGGCTTCTGTAGTATTCCTTTTCCGAGGTGTCACTGCCATTTAGAATTTTGTCCCTATCTTCCAAACTTGGGACTCGAAAGCATTCGCATCTAAGTCGTGTTATTTATGACACGCCAGGGACCTCTCCAGTCCTTTCTCCACCAGCCACACTTCACTCTGGTCCCTCCCGGCTCGCAGACGTTAATGAATTCCTCTTGGGAACCACCTCCTTCACCGATGAGCGGCTCCATCAACACTAATTCTCCTAGCCAGTCGGTGGCAATTGAGGTGGGACGTTTTCCGAAGTCTCAGTGACTCCCCAGAACACTCCTGCACCTCGGCAGGGCGCAGCCGGCTCGGCGTGCTGTTAACCCTCGGCTCGGGCCCACGGAGGTCGCGGGGCGGCTGCTAATTGTCTAAGGAGTCTCCCCTCGTCGGGAGGCGGCCCTCGCAGGCATCTAACTTCTCCGTTTCCCCTCTCAGGGCACAGACGCAGCGTGTGCCGCTCTTCACTGCGCCGGAACTTCCCCGGCCTCAGCTTTCACTCAGAAACGCCGAAGCCGGCTCTTCGCACGCTCCCGCCGTCCTCCTCCTGGGGCCGCGTTCCCTGCGCCGCCGCGCGTGTCCTCAGGGAGCCTCTGCCTCCCTCCGCCTCCCCCGCCCCGCGTGCCCTTCAGCCGGTCCCTCCGCCCGGCCGACGCGAGGGGAGCGAGGCGCGCGCGCCGGCGGCGGGACGACGTGCGCGAGACGCACGGCCCCGCGCGGAGCGCCGGAAGGAGCCGGGCAGGAGCC